ATATATAAAGACTAAATAACGTTTTTACAAAGATTTATTAATATTCCCTTTGCCACACACTATTACAAACATTAGCCCCTATCCCACTAGTGCACGTGCTCTCCAATATTTTTCTACTGTAAACGCTTTTACAACGAAAAAAGTCTCTAATTGGGACCGTTTGCTTTTTATCAATTAAGAACAACTGAAGTTTCATTTTAATAATTTCTAAATATCTGGGTAAATCGAAGTTAATTAGCCTAAAATTGACAGTGATGCTTAAATCACCAGTTTTTAGCAAGATGGAAGTCAAAAATTCTGACCACATGCTGTTTATGAGATAAATTAACAGATATAAAAGAGGTGTCAAAAGAAAACTGAAGAGATAGCAATTCCTTTCGTAATTCTAAATCATTCGGGCGTCATGGTGGTTAGGATATATAATATAAGACTAAAATACACTATCCTAATTCATTTACGTGAAATCCCGTTCTACAGACAACAAGCGTAAATAACAGTTAAGGAGATTCATTTGCATAAATATATATGAAATCGGAGACTACTTTACTGTACTGTTTAACTAACAGGACAACCTACAGTGTCTCCGCATCTATTGCTGAACTAAAGTTCATTTTATGATCCTTCACAACAGACGCCTGGTAAAGCACTTATGCTAGCTGTTGTTGATCGTCAACTTCTTCGTTTACTCACTAGTACTGCACGACTACGTAATCATGTTTCAGTTGATTTTTTCAATGAGTCATGTTTTACGCTCTATCGGACGTATGGAAAAAAAATACTTCCAATGAGCCAAACGGTATGAAACTAAATTTCCTTCAAAAGTTACCGGGTCACACCAATCTGAGAGAAGAAATATCTTGGCCCGAGGAATATTTTCATCGGTTTCCCAAAGTGCGATAACAATTGTGGAAGACATAAGAAATCATTAGCGTATGAGTATTTCCTAGAAAAATGTAAAGAAGATCTCCTTTCTTGATGAAGATTTGCTTTAATTCATTTTGGTGTTAACATAAATTCCACATATGATGTGTTTTATCAGCAATGCCAACCTTCATCTATCAAAACGTACCTCAAGATAGAATTGAGTTAACTTGTTTTATGAATTGCAATTTAATTAATGTAGTGATAGATACGTCACAATACTTCCCCACCAGAATTTTCTCAGGTATAGAATTCGATGAACAGATAGCACTAGTTGATTCATTGCCGTTTTTCGGAAGACCGGGAGAGCAGTATAAAATTTACCGAATTTTGAGCGCAGGTGGTGAGGGCTGTATCACCAGGTTTTGAGTGTTAGCCATGTTAAGTTCACGGATGTGTGAGTGGTTGCTCCTGTTTACTTTTAGCTGTCGAGTGTGTGCAGGGTCCCGTTGTGAATGATACACAATGAGTAGCAACAGCGTGGGGAGGACAATGACGCAAGTCGCAAATAGCAAGGCAACTGCTCACTGTGGACCAGTGTTTCCCAAAGTGTGGTACGTGTACCCACAGAGTAACGGGAACAGTTTAGCGGGGGTACGCGTTCTTATGCGAAATATCTGGCTACAAACGAAAATTTCAAAAAAAAAATTTACTTAAAAACAAAGCTGGCCAAGAAAATTTACGATTAATTATTTTTCTATTGGCTATTTTTGCAGACTAAACAGTTAATAATTAGTGCTGTCAACAGCCAGTTGTGATTTTTAACTTTTATTCAATTTCTTATAGTAAAAAATACATTCATTTTTTATTTGTGGTACGCAGCGCTGCGAAAAATTTAGAAAGGGTAACCAAAAGTCATAAGTTTGGGAAACACTGCTGTAGTCCCTCCATAGGTAAGAGCGTGGTAATAATGTTACGAGCGTGGAAACAATTCCACCGGAATGTTCAGTCAAGGATCCTCTACTGCTCAACCCAGTGTAGTAAGCAGCAAGACTAGAGTAGCCACAATATGGATTTTCTATAATATCAGTGACTTATTTTATGCACGTCTCACTACAAAAGACGATTCTTCTGGTTTTTAACAGATAGTCACATTAATTTGACTACACTGTTTATCATTAGTTTAGGGGTGAATATACGAATTATTAAGGAAAATTTGAAATAATATATGAACTATGATTTTGGTTATACATATATACAATTATTAGATAAAAGTTTGAAATTCCATTTTTTTATTTTTTAGCAGGCAGTAGGAATTCATGGTAGTAGACTGCGTGGAAGAAATTACTGACCATAAGGAAAAATTAAAAAATATACAGATCGCATTCAAAAAAAAAATGTGTTTATTTCTTTTACTTTCATATTATGGAGAAGGAAAAAAATTATATACGGCAATAAAATTGTTTCTATCATAAGGTGTGTTGTCCTTTTTTTTTACAATTTTCAATTTTTTTATTACAATTTTAGGTCTTCTGTTATAATTCGAAAAAGGAAATTTAATGATTTATTTTAATTGAAAATAAATAAGAATGTTACACCCAGGAAAGGATCTCACTCTTTGTAAGAGGAATTTCAAAAGCCGATTTATAAGAAAGCTGAAAAATCTAATGAATGGTAATAATTATCTGTAAATATGAAAACAGTCTCAAAAATAAAACTTCTTATAATATCAAACCTCTTCAAATATTGTAAATCTTACATAAGCAGAAATATGCACCGGAAGAATTCAAAAGTCTGCTCCAGTTTTAGAATCTCAATATTATTTACACTCATCTGACCGCCCATAACATTGTGATTTTAGCCATTTAAAAAACTCAACATTTTGATATAACATTTAAAATATGATGCAAATAAGCTACGATTGTGGGCAGTAGCATTAAATAAGTGACGAAAGAAAAAATTAATAAAATTACTAAAAATTTACGATATTATACTTGTTCTTCTTCACCAGTACTACATCTCAGTGCAGTCCAAGAAGTCTCCCACTGGGTCTGCTTCCTTACCAAATAAATTAAGATATACTAAAGATATATATAACATAACTAACTAACTAAACTAGATGTGTGCGTGCGTGCGTGCGTGTGTGTGTGTGGTGTGTGCGCGTGTGTGTGTGCGTGCGCGCTCTGACTACTATAGCATTTCTTTTGTTTCATTTATTAAGTTGAAAAATATTTTAAACTTTGCTTCTTTCGTTTTATTAGAAATAATATGAATCCCCTAGAAAAAAAATTATATATTCTGATTGAAAACTGGAAATTTAAAAAATGCATCTGCATTATTTATTAAAATATCACAGTAAATATGTGCAAAAAAAATAGTTTGTTCTTTTCTAAAAAAGTTTTATATTATTCAAAATAATCAAATTTCAAATTATGTGTAAAAACAACCAAAATAGCAGTAACATCACCAGTAACACCAGTGCAAGTAACATCGATTGATGTTACTTGCACTAGAAATTAATATCGAGGGACATTTTGAGCGCGTTTTGAGCCTATGACCAAGCCTTATTCTTGGCCATAGATGGCCCCATCAAAAAACAAGAAATCACCCTCTGCCTTAAATTCGCTTGGTTTCACAAAGCAGGTTTGCTGGTATTGGAAAGTGGCATTAGAAACAACAACAACATATCATCAACTAAAGTTTGTGGACTTATGACATCACCTAAAATTACATTGCTTGCAACCTCCAAACACACGTGCATCCATTGCAATTTTAAAATCGAGTAATGAAGAAGCTAACTTTTCCCTATTTTTAATTTAAGTATCTATTATAGTTTTTAAATTCTTTATCCTTTTGCATTATCTGTCAAAAAAAGTGAAATAATGGCTTTTTAATAAATCATTGGCTACTGCTTAATGAGGACTTTAAATAAAATGTTTATTCTTTCTTTTTAAGATGAATACTGGCTAGATTAGCTATAATTATTAGCCCTTAGCTAATTAATATAAGATGTAAATATTTGTACCTTTAAAAAATCACTTTTGAAAATAGCGTTTATAATACATTAAAAGACGAGACTATTCACGGCGGTAAAAAAGACACACCTGTTGGAAGGCTACTGAGGATTACTATATTACGGAAGTACATAAAATTAATACGTATTTTTAAAAAATTTTCTAACAATTCTGAGTGGGAGTATACTTAAAAATTGAAACAATGAGGAATTGATAAAATTTTTATGCACCATCGACGAAAAAAAATTTAAATTAGCAATTAACCTGTTTATAAGTATTACTAATGCCAACGTTAAATGCGATTATAAAACCACAAGAAATAATATTCCAAGCATAAATGTGTCTTATCAAATGAAACTATTTGTTGCACTTGTGCTAAATAATGAATCAATAGCGATGATAAGAAAGCTGTCTTATCAATTGTTTAATTCTTTTCTGCCAAATTCTATGATTATATTTTTCACACAATAAGAAAAGGACAAAAAGAGTTATCTTGCAAAATCAATATCTACAGATTGCCTCAATTATATTAATCATTGAGGAGTTCCTCTTGAAGATTGAAGCATGGCATCCTGCAGTCTTCTCGTTGTTTTTCTCTTGGGTGTAAACCTCCTTTTACTAGTTTCTGCAAGTTCTGGAATTAATTCTGATGTGTCTGAAATTCCTGTGAATGACGTCACTGAGGGAAGCCTGAAAGTGGAAGCCCTCCCCACTATTATTTCCAGTAAGTAAAGAAATCATTTCTGCTCTCGCCTTTAGGGCTGCTGACTACTACGATATATATATATATATATATATATATATATATATATACAAAATTCCTCTATTTACTCTTTTATTTGTTTATTGTTTGTATAATTTGAGCTTTTAGTTATCTGGCAATCTTGTTACGAAAATATTTTAAATCATTCTTGAAAAATTTCCCGTTTATGTAAGTTCATTTGAATTCACTACTCGCTTTGTAGATTTCGTTTCATTATTTCTTCTGTTTCTTCTTTATATTTTATTTTCAGTTTTTACGTGATATTTTTACTTAATATGATCTATTTTATATGTTGAAATTTTCATGTAAAAATTGTTTTGCGTGCTCCTCACCTTATTGTATTGATATATTTTGCTTTGGCTATATTGATACAATATTAGAAAGCACTCCTTTTTGCAGATATATTCGCGTGAGCTGATGAAAAGATTATATCTTTCCTTTTCCGGATTTTTATTAATTTTCTCCTTTTTTCGGATATTTTTTTCCGGTTTGTTATTACTTTTATTTTTGTTATTATTTTTCTTTTTCTCCCTTTTTTTCATTGTTCTGTAATTTTTTCCATGTTTCCTCTATATTTTGAACTTATTTTATGAGTTCTATTTACTTGCAGCTTATGCGCAGTAAACAAACCTTATTGTTTTTCTTCGTGTTTTTTCTTTCTTTTTGTCTTTTATGCATACATGTATATATATATATATATATATATATTTGCATATTAGAATTCCTGAACTTCAAAATAGGGAATGTAGACTAACTTCAAAAAAATTGGGGTGCTTGACCAATTCTATGAGTTCCACGGTTTTCTTTAGATAAAGATAATTTGCAAATAGCATTTTGATATTTTTATAATATCTGAAATGGATTTTCCTAAATTCACCATAAAATGTTGTTCAACAGTTAGGATCATCAAATATTGCTACTGTAATTTCTTTGCTTTATTCTTTTTATTACAAACTTATTTTGTGATTCTTACCATCATTACATACATATCGCTTGTGGGCTGCAACAGCGGTACAACTCAAAAAATCTTGTTTTGAGATAAGTGGGTTTAAAGTTTTCATTGCTGAGGAAAATGCTTTAGTTTGCTTACACTTACACTTCAAGTTGAATTATGAACTGTGCTAGTATTACTGCTGAAAGAATGTTTATTTTCATATTTATACCTGTTCTTAGTCCAAAACGCATGTTTTTTTAGTTATGCCACTATTGCAGCCCATGAGTGATATATCTAATATAATAGTCTCCAGGTTCCTTTTAAATAAAATTTGTAAGGTCCTTAAGAAACTGCAATAGTGGCAGCAAAACTAAGAAGATAAATGTATTTTATTACGTTTACATTCTCCACAGCATTAAATAATTAATAATGTAACTTCAGATAATTGGTCACAAAATCTTGAGTTTTGAAGTTAAAGATAACTTCCTTATTTCAATATAGGTAGCATGGTTTTTTAACTGATT